TAGACATGACAAATGACTACGATGGGGCTGGAATTAAGGGAGGGTAAATAGGATCAGTTGCAGTGGCTGTAGGTATTCCTTGCAATTTTGTAGCTGTAATTTGACAGCCGCTTCTACCTGGACAGTCAAGTTTTTACATGTGAGCTATCTGTATGTGGGGTCAGCGGGAAGGCATCACTTGTCAGGTTCTTGAGGATGGCGGTGGGTAAGGATTCATTTCCCCTCTCCCCCAGCCCCAGTGGCTTTCTCATGTGGGACCCCATATGGTTGCATTTTGTCACCCCCTCCCGTTTATTGTTTGTTTGAAGCAGCTAGAGCAGACTGAGAAATTTTCAGTGCTGGCGACACTCACATCTGTGTCCTTTTCATCAGATCCAGACTTTGCAGTTTCCTTGCTTTTCCAGTGCCTGGCCAAGGACTTCAGTAAGAACGAACTGGCTGAGACTTCATCCACATAAGAGAGAGGTGATGATAATCGGGGCGGGGAGCACAAGTAGAGAAATTGACAGGGCCTTGTAATGACTCCATCTCTTGCTGGAGTTTGCCCGCTCTGTGCCAAAGACGCTCACAATCTTGGCGCCCTTCTGTGCCTCTTGCTTGTCCAACCACCCGAGTGCTCTTGGATTCCTAGATGGCGACAGTGGTTGGTCCCACATTCTTTTCCTAGCTGGGAGGTTGCCACCTTTTCTTGCTGATGTCACCACAGTCGTGCACAACTTTGGCATCGCTAGGTTGTACTGCTACCGTGAACTTGACTTAGGGCTGACCCTTAAGATAACTGGGAACCATTAGCTAGCGGGGAAAATGCAGCAGATCTAAATGAGCATGTTATCCCCGTTCCCCACACGCTGCATTGCTTCCGGTTTGGTTTTAGACACTATTGAAGTTGTTGGTTTTAATCTTATAATGCCCTATTTGTCTTCGAGACCACAAACCAGACTGCCCTCTGGGTTCTGATTCTTTTGTGCCTCTTTGGCAGCACAGAGGGGTCAGAAATCATCTAGATTTGGCCAG